TTACGTGTTTTTACTAAAACTTACAAAGTGATTTTTTTTTACAGAATTTACATATTGTATAAAGTACACAACACATATTTTAGTGTTTCTGATATTTATACAAAAAGTATATATATATACATAGTATATATATATATTTTGCATTAAGTTAAAATATTATCTTTTTAAACAAATAAATAAAATTATTTTTTTTAATAATAATTTATTAATAAATTATATCAAGCTATCGAAATATATATATCGAACAATTAATATTTAAATTTAATGGTATAAGGATTATGTGAATAATTTCTTTTAAAAACATAAAACATATTGCATTGGTCTCGTATATTTACAGATTATTTATGATTTATAATCAATAATGTGTCGTACAATATATATATATATATCAACAAAATAATGTTTTAGTCATTCTTATAAAGCTAATAAAATCTAAAGGCTAAACAGTCAAGGTTGATCTAAAAGTTGGCTCCTCTCTCTGTACCGCGAACATTTTATTCGCCATTTTTTTTTCATGTTTGCTACCTAACAATAAATAAACAAACAAGTATAAATCTATACATTCCACGTGCCACGTGGGTATCGAGGGTAGGAGATGATAGTTAATATTTTGAACCACGATCGCAGTGAACACGATGTCGAGCAGTCTCTTTTCAGTCTCTATCTAAATGCTTCTTAATCATAATTGTCTGAATAAAAATAATTCAAGATCGTTTCCATGATATAGAATAAGGATATCTTTTTCTGCATATTTTTAAAAAATATTTTTTTAATAGTTTGTTGCTACATTAGAAAATAAAATTATTTTCTTTTCTTTTTAAATTTCTGCTAGAAAAAGTTACCTTTATAGAAAGCAACAATATTAAAGAGAAAATAGTTTTCGTTTCATCAATTAAAAATATACCTTCTCTCCGTTATTATTTGTAAAAAGTATCTTCAATTCTCGTTTAAAAATTGAAATATATATTTTCTACCTCTACTTTCTATTTTCCAGAAAAAAAAAAAAAAAATTCAAATATTCAAACATTTTTTATAAATTCGTTATTTAAAGCATATTTAACCGATAATTAAATTAATCACATCTATTACAATTCAAGATGAAATTTTTGAACAGAATTTTTACCTTTGTAAACTTCTTATCGATAATCGATAAAAAAATATATTACATTATTCCGAATCGTTTCGACGAAACGATGTTTTACCAGAAGAGCAGATACATATATATATATATATATTTGCTCATTTCTATCGAGCACCATTATGTTTCTTCATACACTCGTTAAGAATGTAGCATACATGGAACGTTGTTGAATTATTTAACGCGCTCGTTTGACTTTGCGTGATACAGAACGTTTCCTTCATCCATAAATCATGGAAAGTATGATTCGTTAGGAAAACAGAATGATATACGGCAACCTGTTAACTGCAAATCGGGAACATATAATCGGACATCGAATTGCATCATCTATTTTGGAGATACGCGCATTTAATAGTATACAATTCCGTTTATTGAAAACCTCGTCCCGTATCGATGTCGGGTTTCTTTCTTTTTTTTTTTTTTTTTTCTTTTTTCTTTTTTCCTTTTCTTATTCCAGTCGCAGCCGAGTTAATCGAATTCTCTTTGACAACGATCGTCTTTCTCGGTATTTGCCGGCTTCCACGCATTTGCGAGTTTCTCTACAATCGATGTTCTATTCACGCATTTTTAATCAATATATATATTATGTATATATATATATATATATATATATATATATA